GCTTGTCAAAGGGGTCGTGTTGAGGCCCGGTCCACGGGCGGCCCCCTGCTTGCCTCGTGGGGGTAGGAAGGGGCCGCGGGGAGCCGCTGACGGCTGTGTGGTCGTTCCCTTGCAGACCATGGACCGAGAGTTCAGGAAGTGGATGAAATGGTATGGAAAAAAGCATGCAGAATACACAGTGAGTGCCATCGCTCCATGCCCCTGCGGCTACCGACCCAGCTCCATTTCCGTGCCTCTTCCTCCCCCTTGACCCGCCGTTCTTCTCCCCTCCCGGGACGGGACGCCCTCCCTGCCTGTCCCGGCCCTGCGTGGGGCGCGCGAGTCGTCACCGGCGTGCCGCCTCCCTCTCCGGTCTCTTCCACCCTCTCTCTGGGCCGCCCGGGGGCTGCGGCCCCTGCGCCTGCCGTCCGAGAACGGGGACGGCTGTCCTCTCCCCCGGCCGCTGAACGGAGTTCGTCGTGCGTGTGTCTCCAGGCCCCCGCGGGCTCTCGGGGAGCCCTCCTTGGTGTTCTGCACGTGTCTGCGCCAGCAGCGGTGCGAGGCTGGGCTGTGGGGTGTGGGTGGGATGGCCTCTTCCCTCACCTGCTGGCCCGCTCTGGGGCACCTTCTCCTTGCCTTCGTGGCAGTACGTGACCCCGCCCGTGAGTCCCGCCTGGCGAGGCTCGGCTTTGGGGCCGCACACGCCCCCGGCTCTCCCGGCTGCCGCCCCTCGGCCTCCGTTGCTCGGCCCCGCCTGTCGATGCCCAGCAGGCTCCTTGGCCAGGGTTCGAGGCCCCTGGCCTCCATCTGCCTCCGCCCGGGCACCTGCATCACACCTCGAAATGTGTGTCTGGGCCCGTGACCCCGTCCCTCACTCTCTGTCTTGCCGCGGACACACCGCTGCCCTGTAGTCTCCCCGTACTGGGCTGCCGCGGGGACGGCACAGACGGAGTGTGTCTAAGCCGCGTCTTTGACTCTTCTCTCATCCCAGGTCATCGCCTAGCACATACCCAGAGGTTGAGGCCCCGATCGCTGAGGTCCACTTGGCTCTGCGGCGGGGGCCCCGTTGCCCCTCCGTTCCGTGTTCACTTCTTTCCCTCTCCGTAGTCACCGGCCCCAAGCGGGCCGTCGTGGGGCGTGGGCTTTGAGCTGCTTGTGTTAGGGAATGAGGATTGGTCACGAGATGACAGGCTGGGGCGTGGGGGGGGCTGGAGGCGGGGAGGCTCCCTCTCCCTTAGCACCGCCTGACAGCTGCTGCTTTCACGCTCGTGCCTCTGCTGCAGCGTGGGAAAGGCACTCCCCAAACCAAGGTCACCCACCCCTGCCCCTCGGTATTTTCCGGGCGTTCTGGGGAGTTCCGTGTTCTGTGCTTGACGTGTAGAGCTGTGAGGTGTGAGGTCGGCTCCCGGATCCTTTCCGGGCACGCAGGCCCCGTCCTTGCAGTCTGCCCTCGCCCCGGTGCTCTGCCCGTGAGGCGTGTCGCACGCCAGTTGAGTGTTTCTGGCCGTCTGTCCTGTCCCGCTGTCCGTCTCCCTCACCAGCCCGTGCCGGCCGCGTTCCCGTGGCTCTGGAGTGCGTCTGCGCTCCCGCAGCGCCCGGCCGTCCTCTGACGTGATGCTTGTCTTTGCCTTGTCCAGATAAACCCGAGAGTCCGTCTGGGGTCGCCCATCACAGAGCACGCTGGCTCGGGGCCGGGGGGGAGCGTGTGCATCTGCCCGTTGGGTCGGGAGGAAGCAACATCTTGCTGGTATTTCCTGCCCTCACACGGGGACTCTCCGTCCGTCTGTTGACTTCTTCGTTGAGGTCGTTCACCAGGGTCTTGTACTGAGCCTCGTGTAGGCGTCCTACACGTTCCGTTAAGGTTATGCCTGAGTCTGTCTGTCTGGGTGCTCACGTGAAGGTCTTTTTAGCCTCCGGTTCCATTTGTTCGTTGCGCGTTGATAGGAAGGCAGCTGACCTTTGTGTGTGGTTTGTTCGGGGGCAGCAATACCCTTACTCCATGACTGTTGCCGTAACGGCTGGTTAGTTCCAGGTTTGTTTGTTGGTTTGTTCTCTGGATTCTTTTGATCCTGTCATCTGTGAACACAGGCGGTTTTACGCCTTCCTTCTCGATCTGCGTCCCGTACGTCTGTCTTGCTGTGCACGCCAGCATGGCGGCAGACGTGTGCAGGACGCTGTCACGAAGAGAGAGCGGCCCCCTTGCCCTGGTCCTGAGGGCATCGGGAAAGCTTCGGGTTCCTCACCGTGGAGACGACGTGCGTTTGCAGGTGTCCCGTGGGTGCCCTTTATCAAGCTGACGCGGTTCTCGTCCGCCTTATTTTGTCGAGAGGCTTCATCATGGAGGCCCTCTGTGCGTCTGGCGTGAGCCTGTGCTCTTTCTTTGGCCCGTTGATGTGGCGAGCGGAGCCAGCCCTCCCGCCAGGGTGGATCCCACTCGGTCGTGGCGCGCGGTCGTTTCCACACGCTGTGTCGGATTTCCGGGGCGCTCCCGTGTCCTTGAGAGACACCGACCCGTTTTCCTTCCTGCGGAACATCTTTGGTTCTGGTGTCAGGGTGCGGCCGGCCTCGCGGTGGGGAGGTGCCCTTCTGCTCCCTTTGGGCCAGGACTTGCCCGTCCTGTCTCCTGGTGGGATTTCTTCCGGAGTTTTCTCCCCTCCGTGAAAGGCGAGCAGTCCAGCCTTCCTCCTGTGCCCCTGTGTCTGAGGTCCCCTGGTGTTTGCTATCCGGGCTGAGTGCGCAGGGGGTCCAGTGGGTTTGTTTCCAGGGAACTTCTTCCCGCACGGTCCCCGTATCTGCTGTTAACGCTGGCTGTGTTCCCAAATGGCTTATCGTTTTCCTGAAACTGTGACTTCCTAAATTGTTTCATTTCATTTTCGTTTCTTAAAATTTTAGCTCAGAACGCGAACAGGGGAGAGGGACAGAGGGAGAGAGCATCTTAAGGAGGCTCCGCGCTCAGCCTGACACGGGGCTCCGTCCCACGACCCTGGGATCGTGACCTGAGCCAAAACCGAGAGTCGGACGCTCATTGACTGACCTACCAGGTGCCCTGGGTTTTCAAGTTGTCAAACGCTTCCTGTTTCTGGTGACGGGGTCAGGCAGCTGCAGCCCACAGCCCACAGCGTAAAGGTTCCGAGATTTCCCAGAAACGGCTGGTGTTGATCCGCGCACGGCCTCCGGCACTTTGTCCAGAGCCTGGTTTGAGCCTCTGGCGTGTTCCTCACGGCTGGAGTAAGAGACAGGGGTGAGGCTGGGGGCGCTGCGCGCCCCGGGCGGGCCTCTGCTCCCCCCACCTCCCCTCTTCCCTTCCCCCCGTCCCCATCCAGAGTCGGTGGTGCGTCAGAGCCTTGTGGCGCAGTGGTTGGCACGCAGGAGGGGCTCTCGTTCCTCCCGCACTCGTCGGCCCTGTCGGGGCCCCAGCGAAGGCGCTGGGAGTGGAATTTGGCTGGAAGGACACTGGGGCACGGCCTCGGAGTGGTGTGTGGACGAGCAGCTGGCCGTGCCCCTGGCGTTCTGTTACCGGCTCCACGCGGCCCGGCTCCAGCAGGGTGTGGTGGATTTGTGCCGACCGTGAGCGCCCAGATCTGGCGGGAACTTGTGTCCTGGGTCTGGCGAGGCCGGCCTGCCAGCTTTCTGTGGCTTTGACCGGGCGTCCTGGTTGGCGGACGGAGCCCCGCTCCCGTTACTTACGGACTGAAGAGGAAACAAAGCCAACGGGAGTCTAAAAATAGCCCAGTGTGCTTCTCCGGGCCAAGGCTCCCTGGGCGGCCGCCTCGGTCCCCCTCCCGCCACCACAGAGGCGCCGCCCAGCCAGGGCTCACCCTGCCAGCCTCGGCACCCCCACCCCCACCCACCCCCGTCCTG